CCCCAAAACCCCAAAACCCCAAAACCCCAAAACCCCAAAGTAATATATCAGGATTGAATTATTGTATATACTCCTGAATCATTTTATCCAACACGTTTGTTTTCAACTCGAGAGCTTTGGATTTTTCACTCTTTTGCACATCAGTGAAATGATAAGGCCTGAATTCGATTTGGCTGAACTTGTTCTGTTTTTTATCGTAAATCACAAAAGATGGTATTTTGGCTGTTCTCCTCTATTATTTAGCCTGAAATGACTTACGAAAGGAGTCTCTCCTAGGGAGGTATTTTTAGAATTTGAGAAGTAATCTAGCGACAAAGCATTTAATTCATAAAATTTGATATCTGGATGTCTTCCTGCTAGTTGTTCATATGCTTTTTCAATATATTTTCACCCTTTTCAGGAATCACTGTAGAGTTTGATTATGCTATATCTTTTTGAAGTTTTAAGCTGTTTCTCGTAATCAAAGGATAAAGGCTGGATAATTGAGTCTTTATATTTTGGATCATCATCTCTATTTTCGTAACATGCTTTTGGTTTCTCTATTTTGCCTTTACTGATGGCATCCTCAATTTCACCCACAGATTCATGGATGAAATTGCTGATACTTGAATAGATTTGGGATGAATCTTCTTTAAGGCTCTGAGAAATAGATTTTCCTAGTTTCAGGAAAGTGAAAGCATCAGGATCCTCAATTTTCTGGTTAACATCTTGATCATATCTTGAAACAAGTGAGGCATTTTGGAGGTTAAGGAAAGTATCATAACTGTGAAGTCGAAGCTCAATTGTCGAGTCACTTTTTGAAAGTATTTTAAACGCTAGTAATGCATTATCAGAGTCAGAAATGATTATTTTCATGGCTTCATAATCTTTATTGTTCTTTTTGAATTCATTAAGAGTTTGGATAAAGTCTAACAATTTATCCCTATATTCATCTGCTTTCATTTCATCAAGTAATTTGTTTCTATCTAGGTAGACCACCAAGACGAGGTCTCCTCTCTTTGAGAAATGGTTAGCGTAGAAGGATAGCATATTTTGGTCACATGAGTATATAATATTTTGCGAATCTCAGATAAATGATTCGACGAACTGAGCGAGGTCCTGGAACATTTCATTACGATGGTTCTTGTAGGCATAGTCTACAATATTTTCCTTTGCTGGAAGATCTTTGCCATATTTAGCTTTCAGGCCTTTGTTATTAGCAAAATGCAAACTTACCTTCTTCAGTACTGAGATGGTGCATGTTTTTAATAAGTTTCAAGGTATAAAACTCTGATTTCTCTCCTTGGCATGAAATCTGGTCAAGATCATTAGTAAAATGATAGACAACTTCCTCATCTTTGAGTCCAAGCCTGTATTTGGAGAGGAAATCATAAACTTCAATAAACTCAACTTGGGGATGAAAGTATCCAGAGTTCTCAGTGAAGAATTTTCTGAAGATTTTGAGCCTAGGAGAAAACTTTTTGCTAAAAGCGCCCATCTTCTTAACTGGGATTATGAAATAATGCTTGTTTGTCCTCTTGTTTGCTTCCATATATTCAAATAACTTATTGTGGTTGGGAAAGCTGAGAGGGCCCTTCAAGAATCTTTTATAAAGTTCTATGTCAATCTCCTCAGCTGGGAGAGCGAGTTTGTTGCCAAATTCATCGATTATCATGTATGGGGCGTCTGAATTTCGAAGTTCTTCGATTGTATAGTTCCCGAAATGTCTTTCAAACAGTTTCTTATGGGATTTATTGCTGGAATCAAACTTGTCCAATTCCAGTTTGACAATAGAAAATGGTAAAGAATGCTCATGTGTGGGCATATCTGAAGATTAATTAGTAAGCCTACCTTTTCAAACTTTGTTGTACACCTTAAAATCAGGATGAACCTTTGCTGAATTAACCTCATTCTGGAGGATGGTCTTCTCTTCATCTGTGAGTTCTTGCTTTGAAGATATTTTTCTGGAGATTTCGTTGATTATTTCTGGAGAAGTAGGTTCTCGTATGATCTGTACGAAATACCTGCATTGGCGTATGAAAGTATTTTTGAATAGGCTGAGAGTATCTGGGTTTATTGGTTTCACTAATTCTAGGCTGTCTGGAGACTTGCTTTGATCCCTATTTTGAGGCAAACAATGTACCATTTAGTCGTGAATATATACTCAGCAAGATATTTCGAAGTTCCCATTCAAATAATGAAGGCAATTAATATATTTACCAAACCTTTTGTTGTGTTGTCTTTGTAAATGTTTTTGAAGGAATTGAGCGGAGTGCCTGTGAAATATTCATTTACCTCCTGCTTTTGTTCCTTATATTTAAATTTACTGATGTCTGTTGGATCATGTTTTGCTTTTTGTATTTCCTTCTTCTTTTGGAATTGTTTCCAAACTTCTTCTTTTGAAAGGGCTTTATTTGCTCTCCTGTTTCGACTGGCGAAAGTTCTGATTTGGAAGACTGATAAGTTGCTAAATTGGGAGGTTCGAGTATTGTAAAGTGCTTTCCTTGTGAGCATTCCAAGTGTCTAGATACAACTTTCAAGAAAAGACTATCAATATTATCTGAAAATGTTTAAGAATAAGACTACAAATTTGATATGCACCCTTTTCTATCTATTCCACCACAAAACCACACATTTCCAGCCTCCAAAACCCCTCCAGCACCCCTAAATCCCTTACTTTACTACTCCCCCGATATTTTGTCAAAAAACTGCCTAACATATTTAATAATTAAACGCAGCCACAAAATTTAATATTCAAAATTCCCTCTCATCTAGGGGTTTTGGGGTTTTGGGGTTTTGGGGT